AATATTTGGCAGGAAGAACTGCAATTTTAGATACAAATAGCCATGACATGTTTTTCTCGGAGCACCCAATAGAAATATACAAGACAGCTCAGTATCAGAGTTACAAACTTCCGGGAGGAGTAAAGTGCACAAAGAAGACTCGAAATCGCATAGCAACGTAAGGTCGGAAATGCTTTCCTGGTGCAGCGTTGGTCCGAATGTTCTCGCTGGGAAGCTTCATTTCACACACGGACGCAGAGGTACTAGGATGTGTGATTATACGATTAAGAGATATGCATCCGGTATGTCCATCGGCAAATGTATACTAATGCGTTACATTTGCCATCTGATCGGGCGGGATGGTCCGGTACATTGACCTGCTCGATAGCCGGACCTATCGTGCCGGACCTATTGTTATTTCTTCTGGGGGCATATGAAAATACTGGTGTAGGATACCTGTTGGCAGGGCCTAGGAACTGGTTGTAATCATCTTACTAGCAGCCAGGGAAGTCCGAGACGTGCCCTAAAATCTACCAGAATATACCGAATTCCATGAGCCAGAGATATAAAGCATGCATTATAGCTCGTGAAGGACATTCCGACCGCCTTCTGTGATTTATGTTACTTTTGAGGATGTACATTTATTATTAAAACGCATGTTCACTTTACATGGTGTTCTTCCATTTCTGGTGTTTTGTATGTACGCTACCGCAAGCGCATGTTATTTCCGATATGCTATGTGATCTCGAGTTGCCTGCGTGCACCCTATCCCTCCTTAAGTTTGCAACTATGGTATTGAGGTACTTTTCACATGACTTTAATACTATTGATCTTTTATAGTCTCCATAATGTATCGTCCAGTTGCTAGTTTATTTCTTTAAAAAATGCTTCAGAATTATATAATACTGTAAACAGCTAGCGATACAAAAGCAAAGTTGTTGAGATACAAAACATTCAAAAGAAATAATAATTCCAGTTTCAATTTATTAAGTTTTAATCAGTTATTTGTCTAGATTTTAAATATATAACTTATAGGGCTTTTGCATATGAAAATTCTAAGATGTTAATTTGTGTATTCAGTACATTACGTACTAAGAATTATCACTTGTTTTCAGCCTTCTTAGGTTACTTAAATAAAAAAAAAATACCAAATAATAGGGCTGTATATGTGACCTGTTTTGTTTTACGTGCGAAGGAATATCATGCAAACTGTAAGAAAGGTAAGCAAACCTGAGATTACTGTTACTTAGCAAGTATGCTTATTAAAGACATTTTTAGGCTATTTCTGTTCGGTAAATTTATTTACTACCTTTTCTTTACATTAGTGAAAACGAAAGAAAAGAAATATTACGCAAAATGTTTAACTAATGCATGACACATAAAGAAAGTATCTTTTCGATGTCTCCCAAAGTAATGAAAATTACCGCTTAAGAATTTATAGATATTCACTATCTCTTTTAAGTGACGAAAATGAAATAATGTTGAAAGAAAAAAAGAAATAGTAGTAACGACAGCAGTTGTTTTGGCTAGTGTCAACAACGAAGGAAAAGTCGCCTATGTCAATGGATAAGAGCGATTTCATCCTTCACTCCTCCTCTGCTTCATACCACTCCGCCACCTCTCCCTTATCGCTAGCCATCTTGATACAAGGGCACTACGTCACAAGGAAGAAGAAGGTCAGCTTCTTATTGGCGCACCGTTTTCCTAATGCAAACTACGAAACCCGCCTCCCGATTGGTCGGAGTGCTTAGAAGCCACGCCGACAGTGGTTGGCATGGCAACTGGCATCTGAGAACGACTGCTGGAAACTGCCCGAGAAACAATGGCATCAAACATTTACCTCATATTGCAAAACATCAAGCGCTTTCCTTTTCTGCATGTTATGGAACAAAATTTCCTGTTTTAAGAATTTCGGAAACTAAGAAAAACTAAGTAATATGTGTTTACAACCATGGCTATTCTGAGAACAGAGATTTTTTGCAGCTGATCTTTAAATTTAGTTTTCTGTTTATTTTATGTGAAGTGATAATATTGAATTACCTGGGGAACTAAATACAATTATTACATGCTTGCCTAAAAATGTCTCTAGTGGGTAAATAACTGTTTCACCCACAAATATTCAAAAACTGGTAATAATTCATAATGCTTGTGCTTTGAAAACAGTTTCAAGTAGTGTTGGAATGTGCTTTATTGAATTATTTATAATAAGTTATCAACTTTAAGCATTTATGACTGTTTGTGATTTATGCGCTATTTTGCAGTTCAGTGATAAGCAAGAAAATTATATAAAAATTCGTTTCCATCCTTAAAAGTTTCATATTATTACCTCATTTCAATTTCAATGCTTGCTTTTCTGAAAGAAAAGGAATGGACTTATTAAACGTCGTTGAAATTTGAAGTAAGTTGTTCCTTAAATATATTTAACATATTACAAAAAAATTAATAATGTGGGATAAAAATGTATTATCGACTTTGCAAAGCTCAATTTTAGTAAATTGGTTGAATGTGGTTTTATTACCTCTAATCTAATATTTGTATAGGTTTAAGGTCTCTTAATATTCTATTGTTATTTCTATTACGTGCATGAAGACAAAGCAAATTTAACTAGAAATAATTGACTAATTTTTTTTAAATGCTTTATAGTTATTACTTTCAATGTTATGAGAAAGGCTCTTGAAACGTTTTATTCATGAAATGCATGCATATATATATATTACAACAAAATGATATTTAGCATTTTCATTCTACCAAGTATATTAAAAAAAAAAAAAAAGAAAAAAAAAAAAAGAAAAAAAAAAGGGACGCTATTCACATTGCAAGTATAATAAATTTAGAAATTTAGTGGCCCATTTTTTAATGATAAGTTGTAAAAATAATAGATAGTATGCATGCAATCTATTTGTATTGTATTATTTAGTAATTAATATCAAAAGTTAGAAAATATTACATTTTAAAAATTCAAGTTATTATAGATAATAATAAGTTTAAACAAACATTGCCCCAAGCAAATTAGCACAATGAGGCAATTTTAAGTAAATTAATGATATCATATAAGTAAACAATTCGTAAAGTTAATTTAAATTTAGCTTATATTTTCAATGCTTTAGAATATTTCTTCTAAAAATGCTTATAACTGCTATTTAAATTATTACCATTACATGTCAATGTAAACTAATTTATTTCTTATTGCAGTTAAAATTATCACTTAAGTTAAAATTGGAATGTAAAAAAGATTAAAGATTTTCACGAACTTAATAATTTCTTCAACAGAATTAAATAGTTCAGTTAATTTATTTGAATAACTAATTAGCGAAAATTTATGCAATAAATGTAACATTTCATAATACATTTTAAAGCATGTTATTGATCTCTGACCGCTCATAGACCGAATTTTCATAATTATTTAAGTAATCATATTCATATCCTTGTTTAAAGGACAGTTGATTTAAAAAAGAACTTGGATATTAACATATTTGCATACATTACAGTTTAAATAATACTTAATGCTCGAAATGTTAAGGTATAATTAACCATAAATTCTTAATTAAGACATTCTGTTTCTCTTATATGAACTGAAACTTCAAATTCTGTACAATTCTGTCAATACTTAAATAATAATACTTGTATTATTTAATAAAATGGAATTAATTAAAAAAAGGAATTAGATTAAAGGATATTAAACAGATCAGCTAATACTAATAAACAGCACAGAGCAACGAGAAGAAGCATAGTTTGATATTTATGTTATTGTATTTAATTACATTAACTTGCATATATGCAGTTAAAATTATCTTAGATTAGAGATGTCAAATAATGAGAAAAAAAATTAGAAAACTGTAGCTACTAAAATCACTTAGACAAGAAAAAAAAAAAAAAAAAATTAACCGGAAACACTTTACGTTAAAAAGCCAAATTAAAGTAAAAGGAAAGTAGCAGCTAATATAGCGTTATAAATTATTTACAAATATAAAAATAAAATATAAAAACAGCATTTCATATATCTTCATATAAAAAATAATTATGTTTTACATTATGTACCGAGGAAAAATAGAAAATTCTAATGAAATCTATTTCCTTTATAAATACATAGCAGGTTTCCGAAAAAGAAATAAGTAACAAAATTTTTCTGGAAAAACGAATGATAATATTAAATTGCTCACAAACAAATAATTTGTGTTATAGGTAAACAGAATCTTTTCTGTAGTTAGGAAAAATGAATAATTCTGCAGTGATGTTAAATATCAAATTTTATAGGATTTTGTTTTCCTTCGTAAGACTTTATCTTTAAAAAAGGACAGAGAGGAAGAAAGAGAAAAAAGAAAATGTAATTAAATAATTGCAGCCACATAAGGTCAGAATATAGTACAAAATTTAGATTTATCTCTCATTAAAATGAAAACATAATGGAATTTCAGCATGGCATGCTTTAAAATAAATTTTGCAGACATGCGTTATTTAGACTTTATGTTTATATGTCAATGATATAATATTTTTTTCTAAAACTAGACAGAGAACAACTGACATTAAAACTCCTTGATTCATGTAAAAGTTGTCCATATTAGGATAACTTAATAATTATTGAAAAATGAAACATGAAGGAAGAATTTAATGTATTCTCAGTGGCGATTAAATTACCGTAATTTGTTTCATAAGTACTCACTTACAGGCGGAATGTTTGATGTAAATAACATTTTTATATTTTCAATATTGTTTGGAACATCATGATCATAAAACGTTATAAAGAAATTCTTCCAGAGTCACTTGCTTTTTGACAGGCAAAAACTTCGGAAGCGATTAAAAGCTGTTCAAATTTTCGCATTTTCTATTTATCGCTAGAGTCTAGAGGGACTGAGTCTTAAATATACAATAAAACGACAGCACTAATAACATTAATGGAAGAAGCGCGGGACGTTTCAACTCCGTAAAACGTGCTTTTCCTCATTGGCAACGATCCCGACAGAGAAAACAACACACAGGCATCCCAGTGGATCTTACTACGGCCCATTAGATGCGCGACCGCCGCACGCGCAAACCATCGGACAAGCGGCCTGACATTTTCCCTAATTGGAAAAGGACAGACAGCCTTACGAGTAGGGGGGTGGGAAGAGCGCTCGCTTGTGAGGCTCAGTGTTTAGGCGGAAGGGTCCCGAGAACGTAATTCGATTACGCGTCGCTGTTTTGAATGAGCGCCACGCAGGGCGATTGACAGCAGTACCAACAAGTTTGTGCCTCTTTGGGTACTCCGTTCTTTTCACAGATAGAAAGAAAGAATAGCGAAGAACAGTTTTCTCTGCAGTTTCTTCTCTTTCAGCTCGAGGAAGAATGTCCGCCTACCCTCGTTTAGCTGGAGAAGAGAGTCTGCATGCTGCTATGGATTACTCCTACCTGAACCAAGGAACTTTTGATGGCAGTTGTTCTCTGTCCACTATGGATTTACAGCCCAGTTGTCAGTTACCTTCTTCTTATGGTGATCTGGGACCTTGTGGAGGGCAAGTGGCCCAAGCCTACAGATATTCAGCCTCCCCTATGGCCAGGTCGTTTTCGGCTCCCCCGTCCGCAGCCATGTCCGGCCCGTCCGCCGCCTGCGGCATGATGTCGTCCCGGCCTCGGCATCATCTCCATCCTGACCATCCGTCAAGTATGGCACATGCGGCCGCTGCCCACCATGGACCTCCTCCATTTCCTGGATTACAAAACCTTCCAGGTAAGAAAAGGTTTATGACCGTTAAAAATCTTGTCACATATGTACTATAATACGGCAGCCTATCACCTTTTTCAGTGTTTGTTTACATGCAGTAATGCACCATGTTTTCTTAGAGTACGATCTAAAAGTGTATCTTTTCTTATCAGATCTTTGAATGTTGTCTTTGTGAAATATACTGAGCTGCAAATGAAGAGCTACAAAATGATGTCAATCTATATGATAATTATCATGCTATAGTTAATCAGTTTATGTCTAATGATTAATCAAATGGATTCTAAGCAAATATTTCGAGGTTTTAAAAACCTTTTTTTTACACTTTTTGAGAACGGCAGGGAAAATGAAGTAATTTTACCTAAATGGGCAATATTTTTATCACACGGCTTAATTGCATCCTTTTTTTTTTATTAAAAGCTGATGTTATATGCAAGTAAATGATTTTCTGAATCATATTAATATAAACTGTAAAAGATAAAATAATTTGTAGTATTTTAATTAATATTTCTGATTAACAATTTTATTGCATCGTTATCCTGCTTTAACATGCATTTTAAGTTAATAACAGGGCCTGTTGTGAGTAATAAAAATTAGCGAAGATACATAAAGCTGCTAAATATGAGTTAGTTGAAATGAATGCTTATTAAACAGTTTTAAACTATAAGCATAACTACAACAGTTCGAAGATATAACATATAAAGTAAAGCAAACTTTATTCGTTGGATCATGTTTCAGGCACTATATTTTGCACATGTATTTAGCGTTAAATGTCTTTGTAAACTTGGATAGAAATTTGAGAATAAAAATGCAATTACATACATGCAAGAATCAGGGTTTATTTATTTACTTATTACTACTATATACTTACTACTATATATTTATAAATTTTTCATTTTAGATATCTGGAAAGATAAGCGAAATATCACTCAAGGAAAGAAACATAATGCATTTAATTCCTTTCATTTTAGTTAATGTAAGAACGATAACTAATCAAAATTTAAAAAAGAAACCACCATTGTCTTTAAAAAGAAATCATCACTTACATTAATAACATTATGGCAAGTGACAAGTAAGTTAAAATAATTAAAGCTGGAGCTGCAAAATTGCAAGGTTAGGCTTGATGAATTTAAAACAGACTATTTGAATATACAGATTTTTCGAAAGAAAACAATTGACCAATATTCATTTGAAAGGAAAAAATAAAAGCACACTTTCATTAAAAAATTCTTCATTTTCTCCTTTATTGAAAGTAACAGAAACCAGGAATTAGAGCTTATGTGCTTACATTTTATAATCAATGTTAAAATTAATATATATTTTAGGGTATCTAGTACTCTGTGAGAACAAGAGTTATAAGTAATTAATTGGTCATATTGTTTATACTTTGTTATAATATACAGGAACAATATTTTTTCTACTTTTCCACATTATGCAGGAAACAAGCTGTGTATCAACACTACAAAATAGCTTTTTTGAGTATAAATTATTTAAAATAATAATTTCATTATTATTTCCATGTATTGAAGGAGTTTTAGGTATTTTAATTGCTTTAATCCGAATTTTAGGCATATTTTGCGTAAATGTGATAAACTGGACTAGTAAATACTTCTTAGTTGGTATTTAAAGATATCTGTGGTAGTTTTATTTAAATATTCCTATTAATAAATTATAAAAAGTATTAATAAATGGATGCATTAGTCAGAGTTTACAATGCATCGAGATACATTATTTTCCTAATTTCAATTTTAAAAACATGCCAGCCGCTTTGCTAAATATCATGTCTACATATCTGAAAGGCATTTTACTTGCTTTGCATGTAAAGGGTCATACATTAAATTTATGTAAGTAAGCTATTACTTACTTTTATTCATATTTATTTTAATTAAAACCATTTATTGATTAAAATTGGCTTACTGTTTATTCTATATAACTTTTTTTATTTTGTAAAGATATTATTTGTTTTATTCGGCCTTTTTTAAGCATTTGCACTATATGAAGGGAGTAACTGATGACTTATTGCTTTCGTGAAAAGATTTTATTTTTATTATTGTCTTATTTATAGTTATATATTATACTGAAATCATGAAAATAAATTTAACTATAAAACATAATTTTATATTTCTCGTTACTCTCATTAATTAAAATATTTTCAATTAAAGTTCAGCAATAATATTTATCAAGTTATAACTTTCGAAAGCATTCTGATAAATGTAGTCATAAAACTTCCTTCACCTTGGATATAAATTACCCCCAAAAGACAATCCCCAAATTTAGTAAAAACTGTAGTACGAAATCTAATTGTAGATAATACCTCATGATGCGGTTTTATGAGTATTGGATGCCCAAAGTGTAATTAACTGATTTTAATAAAAATTATTTACTCGACTTTTATTCTCTAAATTTAAATATCAGACTAATTTTTATTAAAATAACAAAACATGCGGATATTTCTTAAATACTCTGCGTTAATGAAGATGATTGGGTACCGAAGGTAAATAATTTTTATGGAAGACATTTTTATAAACGGGGTATAAGTACTGAAATGCTTACGGCTTTTGTTATGGTCTTACCATTATAAAGCAAATTCCTTTGGTATGTTGAAAAAGAAGGATTGAAAAATTCTGTTAATTGACCATATTATGATAAAGAATGTTGTTTACAATAATTTTTTTAAACGAGAAAGAAATAATGGTCTATTACGGATAGAGACAGGCAGTGCACTTATTTAATGAGACAGTCATTTCTAAATTTTCTGAAAATTTTAGGAAATGGCTTCAGAGTCATATTATAATTTTTTAGCATTTAACGCATTCCTCTAACACCAGGAAAATAAACCTGGAAGCGAATCATAGTTAGGTTGAAACAATAAGAAAATAATTGTTTTTAGTTACCAAATCGATACAGTCCTGTGTATTAGCTTAGCCCACTCATATTAAAATATTGATAAAATGAGCATATATTTTTATATGCAAGCGAAATATTTTTGTGAATATTTCATGATTTTAATACTAAACAAATCTTAGCTTATAACATGAAATTAATAAAAATGGCACTAATGTACTTACTAAGCATATCAGTTGGCATGTGTTAATAAATTTAAATATAAAACAGTTTTCAATAATACTTTACCGCAGACTTATATTCCAAGAGTAGTTGTTTTCATATTTATTTACTAAAGCATCAGCACAAGTAGCGACTTCTCTAATTACTTCCAATTCTGAGAATTACTGCATAGCTATAATAACAAACATATTCATTTAATGTTTTTCTTTCACATTTGCATTGCATTCATTACAGCCGCGAAATAATTCATAGACAGTAATAAGTTTAAAAGGTAAGGAAAAATTCAAAGAATCTTCATAGAAACCCTATATGTTTTCACATACTGTAATTTTAAATTAGCAGCTACAATAATAAATATGATGCTAACAAATAACAGCATATTCGTAAATTTCCTGATACCTAAATTTTAAATTTAATGCAACAAATGCTTAAACCAAATGAGCTGTACGCTTTCTGTTAAATAATGAAAGTTACGTAAAAGACTCATATCTGGATCGGATGTTATAACAGAGGTTAGTTATAAAAGAAAGCTTTCCATTAGTGCTTAGAAAAAAAGTAAAATTTATTTTCTAAGCATACAGAAAAGTTACATATTTCATAAAATGCTTGATAAATATTTAGCACTGTTAATATCATAAATACAACATTATAGTTTTATGTTTTGGTTAACTGTATAGTTTGACAGTATAGTTAAATATAATTTATATTTTAACTTGTATATGTTTAATAATATGTAAGTACAAAAAATTATAAAAAATGCTTTTGCCAGGATAATAAAAATATGACACTACATTTGGATCTATTTTCTTTAAAAATAAATTTAAGTATGTGAAACATTAACGAAGCTGCAAATGAAATGGAAATTATGCAATTTTTCAGTCCGAAATAAATAAGCAAAGATTTACCATTAGTTAAAAAAATTAAAGTAGTAACATAATTTTACTTAAACTAAGAAAAATATTAAAAGATGCATTCTCTTAAATATGTGTATAAGCACACATTTATCAAAATAATTTCTTCCATCAACAAACAGTAAATGACTTCTTAAAAATTTGCACCAAGAAAACGTTGTGTTAATTTGCCAATATTTATTAAGAATACCATCTGAAATAGACCGAGATATTTCATAGAGGAAGTAGATAAGCTTACATAAGATTATTCAGTATAATACCTTTCAATGACTAAAGCAAATCTAAGGTTGAATGCTATCAGTGCTAAAAACTTAATGGCATTACCACATATCTTCAAAGAAAAATCAAATCTAAATTGTACAAAGCATACTGTGTAGATCATTATCGAAGCTTTATTTTAAGATCAGAAGGCATGCACAACAGAGCAGTAGAATAGCTAAAATAATAAATTTTCTTCTGCAGCTTAGATGATTATTGGAAAGTTTTCTGTAGATTCAAGGACAAACAAAATTAATTACTATTTTATTTTAATTCTTAAAATCATGTAGAATTAATTTCATGCTAGCACAGATAACATTAATGCTATTATTAAATTTATTAATAGCTGTGGGAATATTATCCAGAAAAATATGAGTTTATATATAGGGAAAAGCTTTCCTAGTATCAGATATTTATTTAAGCACTTTCGTCACAACTGACCAAGTTTTAACAATTTCCCCCCTTTTCCCCTTCTTTTCGTTTTGTAAAAACCTTTACTCAAAAAAAAAAAAAAAAAACTCAGTAATTCTGTTGTTGAAATATATTAACAAAAAAATTCTACATTTCATAATTCTATTAAGTCAGATTTGTAAACAATGAAACTACACAAAGAGAGAGAGGCTTCCAGGTAGCAGCGACCTTTCCATAAAGCTCCTACCAAGGAGAAGCGAAAGACTCAGTGGTCGTCATAAAAATGCATGTTTTATAATGAAATTTACTTGTAAAAGGAATAGAATAATCCTTTTTATTTGATTTGGAAAGAACATCATCTCA